TGACCCTAAGAAATATAATCTTTGGGTATTGTGTGGGAGGGAAATTGCAATGTTATATCTTAATCATTTTCTTCGTATAATCTTATTTCATATCGGACGCTTCGCGTCCTCATGAAATCTACAATTATACGTCAGAAAAATTCATAAGATATAACATTGCACGTTCAAAGCGTTAATCATAATTACTAACATACCTGAAGGTAAACTCAAAACTTTCCTGGAAAACTGATCACTATCCTCCAACGATGGTCTGAAATAGAATTTTTCAAAAGTTAAAGCATTGGACCAATCAGCTAATTTTAAAATCTCTGTTATAGAAACTCCTTGACATTTTGCCTTACTAGTTGATGACCCTCTAGTTTAATGAGCCTTAAACTTAGCTGTATCAATACCAGCTAACTTTATAATATCTTTTATCCAATTAGCTACAGTATTAGATGATGCTCCTTTTTGTGGTTTAACTAAAGTTCTAAGTAATGGATTTGGCTTAGACTTATCCTTCAATCTAAAATCTGCAGAACGATTTAAATAAGCAAGCAAGCAATCAACCACACATAATTTAGAATTGTCCTCAAATTTAGGATAAAATATTTCTTTTGAATTACAGTCAGATTGAGTTTTTTATATACCTGGGAGCTGAAACTTAGCCCCTTCATTGTTTATTTGCATAAATCGTATATCAAGTCTAGCAATTTCAGAAGATCTTTTCGGATCAGCTATTGCTAAAAGAATTGCTAATCTTTTGGTTAATGTTTTAAGGTCCAAATCTGAGTTAACAGACTGAGAAATGAGAAACCTCAAAACAATATCAATATCCCACATTTCTTGATATTTCGGTGAAGGTGGATTTTCCCGTAAAATGCCCCTCATTAATTTTTTTACTAATTGTGTCTGTCCCACTGGTTGACCATCAATATGAGGAAGAATAGAGGATAAAGCAGACCTATGAACATTAATTGTTCTGTACTGAAACCCCTTTTGGAACATCCATGCTAAAAAATCTTAAACAGCAGTTAGAGGTGCTGAAAAGGGATCAACTTCCCGTTCCACACACCAGTTAACCCACTTATTCCAGGCCGAGTTGTAAGATTTCTGAGTTCCCTTCCCCCAGGAGCTGAGCAAAAGTTTTTTAACCTCCTCTGATATTGACAGTGTTTGATATGGTCTCCTGAGACAAGCCACCCGACTAGTTGAAGTGATTTGTTTTGAATCATTGGGTGAGGTTCTCCTTGATGAGACTGTAGTAGACGTGGAAATGTTGGCAACAGAATTGGGTGTTGAATTGACATTTCCAGTAATATTGCGTACCATGGCTGTGCCATCCAAGCAGGAGTTACCAGAACTACAGTTGTTTTCTCTGCTTTGATTTTCTTCAGACATTGAGCTATCATGCAGAAAGGGGGGAAGGCATAATCTTTGAAACTTGTCCAAGGATGCGGGAGAGCATTGAACGCTAATGCTCCTGGATCGGGAAGCCAGCTTATGTATGTTTGAAGTTGATTGTTGGACCGATCTGCAAAAAGATCTATGTTGCAGACCATTGTCTGCCTCATTAAAGAATTGAAAACCTATGAATGAAGTTTCCAATTGCTGGAGTCTAAATGATGTCTGGACTCCCAATCTGCAATCAGATTCTCTCAAACTAGGATGAAATCTGCTTTTAGCACTATGTTTTTCTGGAGATACCATGTCCAAAGCTCTAGGGCGAGTTTGTTGCAAACTTTGGACACAGTCCCCCCGATTTTGTTGATATAAGTCATTGCTGTTATGTTGTCTGTCTGTATCAACACCTGTAAATTGTGTCTGTCTTTTAAAAAAGATTTGACTGCATGAGTTACTGCTATTAACTCCAGGGCGTTTATATGGAAATGTGTTTCTGATTGTAACCAAGGACCCTCTATGAATACTTTGTTCATTACTGCTCCCCATTCCAAATTGCTTGCATCTGTTTGGATTATTACAGATGGTTGGATAGAAATTAGAGACCTTCAATTCCAATGAATTAACTGGTGTATCCACCATTCTAATTCGTTTTGCGCTTTTTGAGACAGGACCAGTTCGGAATTGTAACTGAAAGTCTGATTCAGCTCTTGATTTTTTTCTTCCTGTAAATGTCTGTAATGAAGTGGAGCTGTAAAATTGCTTGAATTGAAGCCGTCAGATTCCCTATTAATTCTGATAGTTTTTTTTACTGTTATTTTTTCTAAATCTTTTACTTCCTTACACAATTTTTGTATTTTTTGTATTTTTGGGGTTGGAAGAGATGGACTCACATCTATCGAGTTCACTAGGAATCCAAGAAAAAGCATTTGTTGAGATGGGACAAAAACTGATTTCTTTCTGTTTATTAGAAATCCTAAACTTTTGAGAAGCTTTAATATTAGTTGTGCTTCTAACTGACATTTCACTTTTGATTGGTTCATTATTAAGATATCGTCCAAGTAAACCGCTAGACGAATACCTAGTCGTCTTAGAAAACTTGCTTGGACTTTCATCAATTTTGTGAATACTAGTAGGGCGACTGAAATTCCAAAGGGAAGTACCTGAAATTGAAAGGTCTTTCCCTGCCATTGGAACTGGAGATATTTTTGATGTTGTTTTAACACTGGGACGGTCAAATACGCGTCCGTCAGATCTATTTTGATCATCCACTCTGGTTTTTGGATTAAATCTGTTACTGAATGAATCCCTTCCATTTTGAAATGATTGTAAACCAAATAATTGTTCAATTGTTTTAAATTTATTACAGGGCGGTGTCCTCCCCCTTTTTTCTTGACCAAGAAAATACTCCTGACTTTGGGATATCTGACTTATTGCTTTTTTGTCTAACAAAGATACAATTTCTTGATTTATCAATGCCGTTTTCTCTTTGTCGAAGAAGAGTTTGGAACACTGAATTTGTTTTGGCGGTATTTGACAGAATTCTAGTTTTAGACCCTGAACTGTTTCTTAGACCCAAGGATCTGATGTCAAACAATTCCAGTTCTGGACAAACAATTTTGTTCTCCCCCCAACAGGTAAGTGAGCAAAACGGTCTGTTGTCACAGGTAGAAAACTTAATTCTTGAACATTTACCTGCTGTATGCCTAATTCTTTGTATTGAATCCCTTCCTTGGGATACCTGGTGTGGATCTTGACTGACATCTGCCTCTGCCCCTGCCTCGGCACCCAAACTGCTGGTTCTGGTTGTTTGGGGACTCGAGCCGAAAATACTGGTTATTGCCACGGCCACCATTTCCATGACCACCACCACTTAAGTTACGATTACCAAATCTAGATTTATTTTTAGAACGACGTACCGTCTGAAGTAAACTAAACAATTCCCTGTTGTCCTTGCTTTCTTCAGTGAGCAACTTCCTGAATTTGCAGCCAAATTGTACATGAGAACTTTTTAACAGAGCTTTTTTGCCATCATTATCAGCTAATAAACCTAAACATTCTGGTAATACTCTACCAAGCATAGACCTACGACGATCAGATAAAATACACGTAGTGAGCATTTTCAATCAAAATTAATGCTCTCTGAACAATATCAATGACATCTACTGGGTTTAAACCATGATCACGTCTCTTAGCTTTCTCTGCTTCTGTTCATAAAATTGCTAAGGGACCAGAAGCATCTAATTTTCTGTTTTCAGAGTTAATTATAGAACGTTCTTTCTTAGCATTAAGGGGTTGATTGAACTTTTTACGAAATAGTTTTTTCATATATCTATCCAATTCTTTAGAAGCGAGACTCTTACTTGTCGGAATGTTACAGTTCTTTGTGACCTATAACCTCACATTCTTTGTAATGCCCTGGTTGGCATTTTTTCAATGTACTTAGTAATTTTAGCCGGTATCTTGATACCCTTCTTCAAAATATCAGACGGATCAAAACGTTTATCGTCATCTGAACTTTCCCCACTATCCGAGAAGGAATTCTCGGTCTCCTGTTCAGATTCATCACCAGAATCTGCATTCTCTTCCACATGTTTTCTCTTACCGGAAGAAGATGATTCTACTGGATAACTTTTATCCGGCAACCAGTTACGTGTGGTTCTCTCGTCACTTTCACAATCCAACCCTGTCGCCCCATCGTCGGATTGTGCACAAGTTTTGCCCTTAATGGCACTTACTTTGCCTTTATTGGCACTTTTTTGCCCTTATTGGCACCTTTTTTGCCCTTATTGGCATTTTGTTGGTCTTTGTTTGCACTTGAATTGCCCATATTAGTATTGCCCTTATCGGCACTAGAAACATCGCCTTCATTGGCATGTTCAATGTCACTAAGGTCACTAAACTGACCATCGTCACACAAGTCAACTTCATCTTGAGATTGAATATCAGACACGAAGTCTAAATCTTCCATCAAACCTCGGGAAGGAGTATGTTTCCCTCTAGAACTGGGAGAGTTAAATTGAGTTTGAGCCATAATTGTTTTCGACATTTATTCTTACCAAACATCTCGACTGCGAGCTTAAATTGAAAGCGAGTATTAAAGTGACACGCATGTTTATATAGTACACAGGTGAGCTGTTTTTCTCACCTGAGTGGTTTTACTTTAAACAGCTCGATTAGAGTTCATAAATGAAGGCAATTGCAATGTTACATCTTATGAGTTTTTCTGACGTATAATCAATGGTTACATTCTTGACGAAGATAATCCAATAAAATGGATTCGGACACAGCAAATTTATAGAGTTTTATTTTCATATATATTTTTTGTATACATTCTGAGTTCAATGTTTTAATTTTCACAAAACACGTTTGGAAAAGAAATTAATCCTGCAATTTCGATAATACAAAAGAGGCCGAAGATATTTAATGAACATTAAAAAATCATCGAAGAGAAACTGACAGCACCATGACTTCAAAAAACGAAAAACGATGAAAAAAAATAAACAATAGTCTACGAAACACTGCTTCGAAAATATAAGACTGACCAACAACAAACATCAAAAGTAATTCTCAAACATCAATTAAAACAAACCTTGATCTTACTATTTATGTTATTTCAGAACGGAATGAAATGTCATGGTATGACGCACAGAAATTTTGTATGAACATTTCTTCAAGGTTGATAAATAAATGGGAATTTTCCTCTGCAACACAGAAGCAATATTGGTTACAAAGGTTACATTATAATTATTTTGACATAAACACACGTAAGTTGCTTGATTGTAAATGACAACATGTTGAACGAGAATTGAAATATAAAAATTGTCTGTATTAGCATGAAAATACGATTATTATTCTAGGAAAATTTGCTGTCATAAAATTTCGAAAATACCTTGTCTGAGTTTGGCTTTACTTTTGATCCTGTGTTGTTTATCAGCTTTTCGACGTTTTTGTTTGGGTTTTGACTTTAAAATATTTTGGCCTTGAGCATCCCTGAAGAAACATTATTGTCGAAATGGGCATTAGACGCAATACAATTGTCGCCATTAATGTTATATCTGAATAAGCAAAATCAACTTTGAACTAATATTTTCTTATTAGATCTGTAAAATCATTTACTCAGGAAGAAGTACTTCGGTCTTATTGAAATTATCAAATGGAGTTTTATGTTTTCAGATTATGAAAAACGTCTTATTACTGAATTTAGACTACAACTGCCTTAGAACTGTAAATGTATTCCTTCGGTTTAATATTCATAATCAATTAACATTATTGGCTTCCCAAACATGAAGCTTAAAACGTTCGCAAAGCTGAAATTTTTCTCTGGCATACACCTTTATAAATGATTATGTGGATTGTAGTCTTTTGGTATATAGGTTTTCATATTGGTTTTCAAATTAAAATTTTCTATTTTTCCTATTTAAAAAATATAACAAAAGACCGAACTCCAAACTAAATTAAAAAGGAGAGGCCCATAAAAAAAACCCCAACAAAATCAAACGTTATCAGCCAACGGAACAAGCGAAAAACAACTGTCATTTTCCTGACTTGGTACAATCATCTTCAAAAGAAAATGTTTGGGTTAAACTTGGTTTTATAACTTTTTTATTAAGCTATACAACCGATTCCGTCAGCCTCAAAGATGCGTTATAACAACTACTATATCGATCCCCCTGCTTTTGGAAGTTTCATCAAGCCCAGTAATTAGCACTTCTGTGTTGACATGAATTATTATTGATATGGTAATAACTACACAATAATTGTTTACAAAACGTTAAATTTTTCGAAACAATAAGGATGTTTTTACCCTAGGAATAGCTTACAATAGCTGTATTTGGTAAAACCTTTCGGAATTTTGGGTCCTCAATGGTCTTCATCTTCGTACGTAATTTGGCCTTTTTGAGTTCTTTGATTCGAGCTTCCATAATGAGTCTTTTGTAGACGAAACGCGCGTCTGGCGTACAGAGTTTTAGTTCTCGTATCTATGATTATTTAAAAATGTGTTGAAAATTAAAATCAGTTATACACGGCCTAAATAATGAGTTAAAATGAACATGCGTTATCAAAACCTACTTCAAATATAGAAGACATTGCGATTCCACGCTGGATCAAACAATTGTTTACACGTTGGGTGGTTATATGCATTGTTTGTAATGCGAAACATATCAGATGTCACTTTTGCCGCAGGAACGTTTACTCTACCACAGCACCTGATTTCACCCCTGTTTTTTTGGTTGGGTTGGCGTTGTCCAATATTTCTGTTCTTTTGCAGTGTATTATGGAATGTTTTTAGTCCGGTTACAATTACAATACATTTAGAGATGGACATACATTTGAGGCAATTTATAATCGTCTGAACCGTTTCTACTTGGTATCAAATCTACGAAAAATCATTTAATCTTAATATACAAAATATTGAATGCAACAAATGCATATCAATATAGGTTAAATATGAGATAGTTCCCTAAAGAACAACTGCCGTAAGACATAACTTAAGACACGCGATTTATGTCATATTTATGAGACAGACAGGTCAATATTTTCATATAACATCACATTAAATTCCTCGTTCAGCTTCGTTGAGAGGGTAAGTGTATATTCTTCAATAAATGCATCTTCCTCCAAAAAATCCACATTCAGTCAAAATGTCAAAATAGGTATTAGAACACAATAGGTAAATTGATATATCAGACATCGAAAATATGCTATTAGTTAGTTTAGAACGTCCACATGAAATGGTATCTTGAATTCTTCTTTAAAAGATTTGAGAACTTAGTTCATTGAATGTTTATTATTGTAGCATTACCATTATTCCCAACAAGATGTGCAGCTTTGATCCGACAGAGAAAGGTGTATTCAATCGAACTTTTTAACTGTTCTATGGAGTTGTATACGCTTTGTCGAACCAAACATGCCCCAACAGATACATGGCCAGGTAAACATTTTATCTTTCGTTTTTCACCGGCTTTGATTGCTTAGCTTTAAGACAATTTCAAATACAGTTATTTGTGATGATCGGATGTTCAATGCAGTGGCCAGCAAGGGAGGGTTGAGTTATGCTTTTTAAAAAGTTTATCTTCTTTATCTGATTGAGTTATGCAAGTATGCAAATGTTCAGTAGATTTCATCACCATCAGTAGAGCATTGTATTTAACATTGGAGATGAAAATAACTCTTTAAACATTTCGTGAAACCAAGCACTTTTCTGGATTTGCCTTGATCAAGAACGCTCAAACCTGAATTTATGAAAGCCAGGGATATAACAATACGTTCACATGTTAGAAGCCTTATCCAACTTCAATTAGCCTGGACTGAACTTTTTTTTTATGTTACAGTAGCCATTCATTTACTTAGATAAATTGCCACAGAAAGGTTACAATCATTAAAAATGTTGATCACTATAACTTTAAAAGAAAATTACAGAAAAGGCAAAATTCATTCAAAAGCATATTTAACATATTCGTTGCTCGTCAAGCAGTGACAGATATTTTGTCAGAATTTCTTTACGGGATAATATATTATTTTAATTATCGGTTGCTCATCAAGAGTGCATTGCATTTGGCTTCTATAATCCGACAAATGATAGTTTTTTCAAGACTTTTCACCTAATAACAGTTATTCAAATTCATATGAACCGGATTTCTGGTGATTAAAATGTTCAAGAAAATGTTAAATCAATTTATGCATATATTCTAAACTATGTCCGCCAATTATGATTCATTGGGTGAGTGCTGATAAAAACAATGGCTGCTAATTAACTTTCGGGTTTTGAGGCTATAGTTAACGATCGGGACCTTGATAAACAGAAAGGTAGCAAGTGAAAGAACTATTTCATTTTGATGATAGAGTGACTCTTAAATCTTTCACGCATTCCTAATGGTTGATGTAAATTTGTCTTAACAGTTGATAAATCATATGGTGTATTAAATAATTTTCTGCAAAGTTTCAGTACCTCTATATCCTTGGCTTTTAAATATTTACCATGAAGGTAAAGCGCTTTGGACGCATACAAAACATAAAATGTTCTTTTCATTTTCATTAGGGCGCATCACATAATCATATTATTTTTATTTTCAAAGTCTTGGTCGATACCGCTGCTATCATGGTCTCAGTCATTAGCCTTTATGTATTAAAATAATTTGTAAAATTTCGTTTAATAAATTTCCAGTTGATTACAAAAAATAAAAAATAAATGTCCCAACTCAAATCTTATATCATTTGGATTTATCTATTGATTTTTGTATCGATCTCTGTTTGTGATAAAGCTCCTCTATCATGTCGAGTAATCAAGTATGTACACATTCTTTGCTTTCAAATGTTTAGTATTGAGCGTTATTACTAAATATTAATCGAGAAACGCGTTATGGACGCAACGATTGTTTCATATAGCCTATTCATGGCTTCTTCTCGCAGGTGACATGCACAGCAGTAGATAATGTTACTGGCGACACGCTCAGTCTGGTTCCATTTGGATATTATCCGATTCCATATATTGTTTATCTCGATTACTAGTAGTTCAATTTAAGTCGTAACGGTCATTTGATCTTTACATCATCTGAAAAGTATTGACAATGAATTATTTAGTCATGTACAGTCTTTCAGTCTATTTTTCCGACGCATATACACTGTGGTAAATTCCGAACTGTTCAGACAGTTCACTTGCTTCAAATTCAGCAATGTTCAGTAGCTTTTCAGACAGTATAATTTTGATGTGTTTAGGTAAATAACAACTGATGAACAGTCTGAACATATCATGACAAAATCTTAATTGACTGCAAGCGAATTGTCTGAACAGAACTGAATTTACCGCAGTAAATTAGTCGAAAAAATGAAAGACTTGATAACGTATTGCTCAGTCTTCAAAGAGCTGTTTAGAGCAAAATGACTGTTCAGTATTGATTTTGTTTTATCAAAGAATATGTTCTTAATAAATTTACGAAATCGGAACATCGGTTACCTACCGTTAATTCCACGTTTAAACAATATACAATCTCAAAAAGTGCAATCGCAAAAATAGAAAAAAAAAACAGTCTCAAAAGCTTAAAAGCAAAAATAAAGCAAAAGAGTCTATATACAAATTAAGGATTTAAAAACTTGTTTAACTATGACTTGAATATAGGTGCTATTCTTTCCCTATACCTATTGTTCAACCAGATTGTAAAATTGACAATACAATCGAGACATTTAAATTGAACAGTTGGTATTTCAAGAGTTGGTGAATGAATAATCTCTCATGCAAGATAGATATAATAAGATGTGGTATGGGTGCCAATGAGACAACTCTCCATCCAAATCACAATTTGTAAAAGTAAACCATTATAGGTCAAAGTACGGTCTTTAACACGGAGCCTTGGCTCACACCGAACAGCAAGCTATAAAGGGCCCCAAACATAACTAGTGTAAAACCATTGAAACGAGTCTACATTGATGATGTCCAATCACTTTACTTGTGCAATTGTCAGTGTTCTGATGCAGTGTTACTGAGATAGATGTTTCAAAACTTACTCAAGTGGTATAAGGGCTTCAGGTTTTATGTTCTTTAATTAACACTAGTATTGCATGGATACATTTTAAATAAGTAAGGATGACTGATGTAAGAATATCTTCACAAGATGAAAACTTATGCCATATCAAATATATTTCTAGTTTTAAAAATTTTCGTTTTAAAATTATAATTTGTTTTTGATTTGATTTCATTATGTGGTTCATTAGGTTTCCTTACACAAGTCATGGAAATACAATTATATTTGCAGTCTTTTGAATTTAAATAATGTATTCCTCGAAGCATTCTTTGCCAAAGAAACACTGCATTGAAAATGAAAAAGAGAGATTTTTATTAATTTGTAATTTCATATTTTTAGGAGTGAGCAAACCTGAAGTAGAATGTACAAATGTTTCATTTTATTGCAGTCTATTGAATTTTACGTCTGCATTTGTTTTGTTTGTCTTGACTGCATTTTGTTATTGTTTTCATAGCCAAATACTATGAATGCCTGGATTTCTTTTACATTGTTGAAAAGATCTTTTGTCTCTAAAATTTTTCTCTAGTGGGAGATAACTCAAAAACTTTTTTCTTTGACCGATGTGGAAATAATAATTATTCAATAATTTTCCAGGATAAACAAATGTGTTAACATACCAGAACAAACGTGTGCATTCCTTCATTTAGTTTTTTGTTCAAAACCTACTAGCATGAACCTAGTACAGAGTGCCCATGCACTTGTGAAATATCAGAATAATAGTCAAATGTATGAATGAACTGTTTTATCTTTTTTTTGTTTACATATTTATTTGAAATCTCATTCCAGTATTCTTCTTCCGATATATTTGACATCATTAAATGTTTTCCTAATTTTATGAATTATTCCAAAAAAAAGTACTAAGTCTTATATGTTTCACTATATCACTAGATTTTACTAAATCAACAGTATTCACCATCTATTTCATTTTCCATGATATATATTTCCCAAAATAAACAGGTGCAACGTCTTATTATATTTAAACCCAGTTTGTTATATGATTATTTCCAATATCGCATTCAAAGGCATATCTCCTTCATGCATTCCATTTTTAATTTTTTGTTGCCATCTAATATAAATTAAAATCTCTTGAGTGAAACAGTATCTTTGTGTACAAACGTCCTAATAGATTTCAAAAGAAAAACACTGCACAGTATAATCCAAAATTTATCATTTTAAATTTTCATGTCACATAAACATTTGAATGAATTGTTTCCTCCTTGATGCATTAAATTCTTTTACACAATAATTTCAACAGATTTCAAACACTGTCAATAGTTCTCCAAAACGAAAATGGTGCAGAGATATATGCAAAATATGAAATATCAAACTGAATTTTATCAAATAAAAACTGAAACTGAAACCAACTGAATAGCTATTTAGTGTTTCGCTGACAACTAGACAATACAACACATAAGGGTTAAAATGTAAAGGTTTGTGTGTTATTTAAAAACACTTGTCATGTCCACACATGTAAACATGCAGTTATAAAAATCTTTCACTGAATTTCTTGGTCAAAGTTAGATTAATTATCTCTATAAAGGAATTAAAACAATGGAAAAGCAGATTTTTTTTGTTCCTTCCAATTTTATGATGGAATAACCCTAGACGAAGAAAAACGTCAGGAAAAAAAGCATGCTGTTGGATCAGGTGAAACAAATAAACAGAACAGGTACCATAAAAGGTAGACTTAACTCTCACAATAACAAAAATTAATGAATACAACTTTATAAATTACCTGCTCCAAAACGCGTTTCCAGATTTACCTTCATCAGGAACGCCCAAAGCCGAATGTTAGACAATTTAAATGTCTCAATTGTGTTGTCAATTTTACAATCTGGTGGAACAATATTTTTTGCTAAGGGACAGCACCTAAAATCAAGTCACAGTAAACTCTTCGAAAATTATTTTTCTCATTTAAACGCTTTTTTGATTCTGTAGAAATTTAAAATGGTCCCCTCTTTATAACATCTGTCTTAATAGCATGGTAAAAATCAAAAGGACAATACCTTCTGGGAATAACTGCATTTTTGCAACGATACGAAATCATAACTAAAAGTACTAAATTTTAAATATCTTTCACATCTTTATTTTCAAATAGGAATTTTAATACCACCAGCAAAAAATAGTTCGACAAAGATGACAACTACCAAATTATCTCCAGCCTCACCAGGAGTTACGTATCAGATATCAACTATTTTTTCCACAGATGTTAAAATTCCGAAAACAACAGCCAATGATAGTGTTACCATGGCTACATTGATCCCTGACACCGGTAAATGATAAAATTAATTTAATCCGGAAAAAATAGCTTTCATGCTTAAATTCGAAGGAAATGATATGCTATACCATATATCCATTCAAATCGTTGTTTTTATATTCACAGACATTTCAACATTCAATCCTGCGGTAGGTTTAGAGTTATTGGGTCTTTTCACTTTTCCATGGAAAGACCTTTTGATTTTGTTCTGATTATTTTTTGTTTGTTTCCGCCAGTGTAAATTCTTGCGAGAATTATTTTTTTTCGCTAGATGTCGCATATATATTGGGTATACTATAATGAAGGGTTTATATTGTTTTGAAACTGACACTGTTAAACCAAACAATTTTACTTGTAAGAGTTATCTCCCCAAATACTGAATTGTGATTTTTTTTTTGGCTAATTATCACTTCTCCTCAGAAACCGATTAAGATATCGACACAATGTCTTTAATAAATTGTTTATTGGAACATGTTATAACATATATATTTTGATTAAAGGGGTGCGTTTACTTTACGACAAAAGAGATGATTTCAGCTTCCTAATTGTGAACTTTCAATTTCTATGTAGCAACATTCCATCAGCGCCTGCATACGGAGTATATATCTCCCAGTTGATACGATATTCCAGGGCTTGTACTTCCTATCATGATTTCTTTGATAGAGGGTTGCTGCTCGCAAGGAAGCTATTAAACCAAGAGTTCCAAGTGATGAAGTTGAAATCATCCCTTCGTTAATTTTACGGACGCCATCACGAGTTGGTTGACCGTTATGGAATACTCATTTCACAGATGATAGCGGATATGTTCAAAATGTCCTAACTACAAACCCGTTCCTCTGTACCCGAATGTGACCTACCAACTAGATTTATTACCGGGTATGTACTAACACGAGCAACACTACGGGTGCCACATGTGGAGCAGGATCTACTTACCTTTCCGAAGAACCTGAGATCACCCCCAGTTTTAGTGGGTTCGTGATGCTCAGTCTTTAATTTTCTATGTTGTGTTTTGTGTACTATTGTTTGTCTGTTTATCTTTTTCTTTTTTGCCATGGCGTAGTCAGTTTATTTTCGACTTATGAGTTTGAATGTCCCTTTGGTATCTTTCGCCTCTTTCTCTTGCCAATTAATTAGAGTTTTCTACCCTCTAATGTTTAAAATTGTCTGTATTGTGATATTACTCAAAACTATATATTGATGTCCTTGCTTTTTGACCTCAAGGTCAAAGGTAAATTTGGTTTGCTAGAATTCGATCTTTGCTATTAATTCATATCTATACATGAAAAACCATGGGGTCTTTTGCATTTGGTTGGTAGACATATGAACTTAAAAAAGTCAGCAGAAAATGACGTATTATTAACCGGATATAGCCATTATCTTCACTGATTTCATTAAAAAGTACCTACAACTATATATTTTTGCAATCAGTGTGAAATAATCTATTATTTGACATCGGGATGACTTTAATTTTACCGGAAGTGACTTTTTATCCCCCTAATTTATACGGAATGTGCCTTAAATATTGTACATTTCGAAACGCAATGTGATATAAGCTATCTTATAACACTAGACATATTTTTTTTTATCCAAATTTTTATGTTTTAGGATGGAAAGACCTGAAATTGTTCACTGAACAATTGGTTTTTAATTTCATTTTGCATTCGTTTCTTAGCTATTGTATTCGTCTCTTAGCTATTGTAATGTCAGCCTTTTTTGGATGATAGTTTTTAATTGCTTCTGGGTATTTGCCTTTTTTGACGTGTTAGCTTTTCCTTGTTCTTTAGATATTTCGTTTTGCTTGGCACGTTGTTGAGAGTTTAGATAGAATTTTTCAATACTAACATGCTAAGATTGGTATTTTATCCAAGTATTCTGGAGAGTACAGGAAGAAATGTTTTGAAGACAAAAGTGAAAGACATCAAAAGACTGTTGAGTCCGTGTGTTATTAGGACATTAAGAAAACTTTCGATTTGAAGTTTAATAGTGAAACAAGCAGTACTAAGTAATTCCAAATATTTTTTTTAAAACTTGACGCACATCAAATACGACTATTTGGTACAGCATACCAGTATCAAAACCAATTATAATCTAGTCAAACAGGAACCAGCAATGTACAGGAAACTAGATACATCTTATGTTAATGTATTTGATGCTAAGCAACTCTTTACTTGACAGCTGTATTTTTAGAAAAATTGAAAATACCATAATATATGCAGGCAGTGTTGCCACGATGTCACAGAAGCAAGGGATCGAATCCCGCGGAGGGAAGAACAAAAATGTGCTAACGCAAATTTGAAGATCTATCATTGTTGGGCTAAATTTGAGACGACTTATATATATATTATGGTGTTAGCCCTGTAAAACCACATGTTAATCAATGGGGATGTCTGTCATAAAGTTGTCACATGTTAAGACGTGTATAATAGAACTAAAATTTGATGTGGCGGTATGGAAAGTAACATTATCCTCTTTTCCGACAGACAAAATAGCTGCTCTGAAAGGTACACCATCTACTTGCCACTATACATCATGTACTGTGTCACAGCACTAGATAAAGCCGACGAGGAAAGGCATTACTCGGCCAGCAAAAGCTATATTTTTATATAGCCTAGGTGGTCGAGCGGTCTAGGGCGCTAGAACACGGTGCAGGCGGTGTTGCCACAATGTCATAGAAGCAAGGGTTCGAATCCCGCTGAAGAAAGAACAACAATTTGCTAAATTTGAGACAAATTATATATATATATATATATATATATTATGGTGTAAGCCCTGTATAACCACGTGTAATCCAATGGAGAATTTCTGCCAATAAGTTGTCAGATATTTAAACGTGTATGCCTATATATATATATATATATAGATATATAACAAGAGATACAGTATAATTATTCACAAAATAAGATTTTTGTAAGAGTTACCCCCCGTGCTGGTCGGGTTCGCGTTGCTCAATATATTAGTTTTCTTTGAAGCTTTTGTGCAAGAGATTATACATAAAATTGTTTAAAGTTATAATATGGTCTTTAGACATACCTTTTTATGAAAGTTAATAACTATACTTGACATTTTTACTTTTTCAGTAAGCGTTTCGATAATTATCCCAGTAGTTGTGGCGGCAGTCATTATTATTCTCGCAATAATTGTAGGAGTGATAATTTGTGTCAGGTTAGTTCTATATTAATTATTATTCTCTCAATAATGGGAAAAGTGATATTTTATAAGAGGTTAGTTCTGACAGTAATTAGCATTCTGCCAACAATAGGAAGAAAGATCTTGTAAAAGAGGTTAGTTCTGAAATTAATTAGTATTCTAAAAATAATTGGTAGATTGGTTTTAAGTATTGTACAAATATGTAATTTTTACAGTATTGATAATTCTTACAATAATTGCATCAGTAATATTTTATAGCATACAATTTTTATTCTCATATTTATTTGGGGTAAAATAATTTATAAAAGCTTACTTTAAACAGTAAGAAGTATCTTTTTAATAATTTGCTAATTGCAACTTTTTTTCTGAGGCTTTTTGCTTTCTCACGAAGATTTGAGGAATGATAGTTTATTATAGGTAAGTATTAACAGCTACGTGCTTTCTGACAACAATAAAAGCAGGTAAGATTTATAAGAGGTTCGTTCTAACAGTAACTTGATTACTGACAATAATTAAAGATGGGTATCTGATAAATATAGATTTCACCACTGCAACAAGTGTGTTACGATATTTCTCCACTCGAGACAGTTAAATTTTCTTATTTAAAGTGCGAGGCTTGCCGAGCTTTTTAAATAAGTAAAATTTAACTTTCGAGAGTGGGGAAAAATCGTAATACACGAGTTATAGTGATGGAATCTGTTTCTCTAATGATTAGTATCCTTCCTTTTCAAAGATTTGCATGGTCGCTTTTTTTTATGACGACACAATAGAAAATTCAGAAGAAACCAAGAACATTTGACGTCATAATTAAATGTCGACCAATCATTTGTCGAGAACAAACATTTCACTAGTGAGGAGAAATATTTTTCTCAAACCGATCAAGAAATGTGAAAATAGCACAAAAATTAGAGAAGATGTTATTATTATTCCTAATATAATTTGAGAAGTGATATTTGGATAGGGGCGGTAGTTATTCTGTCAATAATTGGTGGAGTGGTGTCTTTTAGAGGTACACAACAAGAATTAGCATTCTACCAATAATTGATGAGATATATTTTGTAAGAGGTAATAAGTTTTTTGTAAATAGTTAGCAGGGTGAAATTTCATCTGAGGTATCACCTGGTAAATGATAAGAAGTGACATTCAATACGAGGTTTTGTCTTACACGTCATACCCTGTCGAAGATTCCAGTCTCATTACTCTTGAAGTCCATGCTATTGTCCAAGTTTGATATTTCGTAACTTGATTTTTTACGTCCGAATGAGAACTTTGGTTAACGAATTTTGCCTTAATTGTCAGTAATAAGTACTTTGATAGTTACGGGATGATTGGTATCTTTTGAGTTATTAGCTAAAACGAGAATTGGTACTCTGACCAATACACGAAGCAGTAATTTTTTTTTATTAGAGGCGTATTCTAACCGAAATAAGCATTCATAAAATAATTGAAGTAATATTATATAAGACGTAAAGTTTACTAGTAATATGTTTTTTTATTAAAAAGAATGAATATACCTCTAAATGTAATGTATTTAATACAAAGGAAACTCATAACCTCGGTCTTTACAAAGATAAGACACATCTTATTAATGATGAATACCACCAATATACAAATAAGAAAATTTCGCATGATTGCCAATGACACAACTCTCCACCAGGGACTAAATGAATTTAACAACCGTGGATCACCATATAGCCTTCAATAATGAGGAAAATTTAATCCGAGTAGTAGGCTATAAAAGGCCACAAAATAACAAATGTAATACTGCAATAATTCAAACGAGAAAACCTCTGGCATGATTTATGTACAAAATAATACACGAAAAACAAATATGACATACGGCACCTGACAAAAGACAGACACATTCAGAATATGGCGGGTTTAAACATATTTGCTGGGGTGCCAAACCCTCTCCTAACCTGGGGCAGTGGTGTAACAGTACAACACAAGAACGAACCATACATATCAGATGAAAAGGTCTTAATTCATCAGATCGATACAAAGCGCAAAAAACTAACAAAAACACAAAAGACACAAGGTACAGATCTGAGAGAACTCGCAATTAATGAAAGCTAGTTCAAAGACACTTATTTGTAAATGCAATAACAATAACGCAAATGACAAAAAAAACCAAATAAAACCACTGAAAATGATGAAGAAGTCATTTTGTTCCTGTTACAGTGCCAAACAATAATATTGATTATGCAAATATCATGATTCATTTTCTCATGTCTGTCTAAGTAAATTTTAATAAAAGTTTCTGGTAAGTCTGAAAATGTTCTGCATTTGTTTCAGAAGACGCCGAAATGCAGGAAACGCTCCATTTCAGTCTCCAGAAAGGGAACACACTACATTAATAAATGTTCAAAGGTCAGGCCAAAGTAGTCCTAATACTGACACAGGTGGTGAAAGTGTTGAACTTCAAAGTCATAATTGAAAATCATACAATTGAAGAAAAATTGAAATTGTTTTGTTATACCGTGCGGCAAAGTGTGCGAATGAAAGAAGACGTTATTGTTTCGCTTCATTCATTGTAGCTTTTTAAATCCATTGTCCCCATGGTTTTTATACAATAGTAGCAAATATTGTTTTTTTTCAGTAGTTGTGATGTTTACTTCAAAGTACAATACGGTAAACAATATATCCGGTGGTTGGACAGTTGACTTCCATGCTTCTGCGTATTCTTTCTCCAAGATTAATCTAGCAAATTGAAAATTTTTAACAGACATTGACATAGAAAATTCTGAATCTAATACCCCTCACCCGACTACAAACCAGTTATTAGGGTACATTATCCTTTCGTCTAAATAATATGCAAACAACGTTTTGTTTATTCCAACTACCTCTTAGTTATAAGGCAAGCATTATTAAGGATGGAAAAGCAAATGACACATTTAAAATAAATCAAACAGCACGTTTTTGCAGCTTGTGAATCGTCATGTAAAATAGTACTCTGACATTCTAATAACGTTTATCGTTCTTAAATCTGAACAAACACTAATATTTTTTACTGCTGAAAGATGGCTTCACATGTTATAGAGTTTATTAGATAGCATGAATTTGAAGAACATACCTAACCAAAACTAAAAGTCTTCTGCGAATGACATCTCCTTCATATAGTATGAATTTATCTATAATGATTATGATTGTTAAAAAAAATGAGGCGGAAGATACGTAAGAGTCAATCACAATTCATTAGTGTAGAATAGAAACCGACAGAAACATGTCAAAAAAGCCGAATAACGAAGAAAATAGAAAAGCAATTTCAATTTTATAATACCGAGCAAGTACGTCTAACAAAAAGCTGACATAGTGTATATGCAGTTTTCTTAAGACTCAACATGCTAAAGCAGAACACATTTGAGCATGGAACCATATTCACATATTGTCTTTTTCAGTGATATAACAAAAGTTGAAGCTTCAATCTATTATATTATTTACAACCATTTAGTCCCTATAAACGCAGACATCTACTTCTGAAAATCATCGAAGTCAGAATTGCTAATTATGTTTTTTACAAATGTTTACTTCTTTGCCAGCCAAGATAGAGCTCGGTGATATTGCACAATATCAAATAAACAAACCCGAAGAAATCCTCATCAATGTCATTGTTTCCTTACACATATCTATTGAAACAACTCGAAATATGAGGTGATTCCTACGTAATAACATGTTTTCATGATGTGAACCTCCTGGAAATTTGATTAGAAAACATCTTTATTTTGAAGAAGGGTCGTTTATCACATATATTTTGAACAATTAAAGACCAAGAACAGTGCAAAAATATAATAATACTCAACACTGAAATGAAATATATGTTATATTGTTGTGGTTTCGGATTTCTCTTGATATGAACCGAGTGTGTGAATAGTAAACATAATATGTGAATATCCAGAGTATGTGAATCGAAGGCAAACATAAGGAACCCCCAGAGTGTGTCAGTTTCAGACAAACATCAAAAACCAAGAATAAAGGGCAAAAATCCCAAGTGTAAGAATCGCAATCATTAATCGGGAAAATTCTGAGTGTGGGAATACCAGACAAACACCGATAACATTTCAACAAATAAATAATGTGATTCGTGGGCAAAACACATGACATTCCGGATTTTTTTAATCAAAGAAATAAGTGAACATTTCAAGATTAAGCATCACAAACATTTCATGTTTTAGAATAACATGAGCAAACAGAGTGTTTTGACAAATACCGTAAACATCCAAGTGTGAGAATCTCAAGAAAACATCATCATGATCACGAACTTTGCTATTGTGCGATCACAAGTAAATCACGTAGCGATTGAAAATCAAAGAGACTGTCTCGGGATTGTCTTTGATCGTTTAAATGTCAACAAATGTGTATAGATATGTGCTCGCAGAAATACAACTATCACGGAACATAAATGAGGGGCATTGTTTACAACTATAAGTTCAATAAAATATTTGAAGTTGGTTGAAAAAAAAGAAAATCACTGTGACTTTCTCAAATTTGAGATATAGTGCTCTTTGTTGAGTTTTTCACAACAGTTAGATTTCTAAGAGGGTCCACAAAACGTCTATACTACTAAAATAACGGGGTCCAATTTGCTAGCCGGGATGACGTAACAACGACAAATCAATTAATTAAACTTCATATATAACTAATAACTGACAATAGTGTTGTTTAAAAATTTACACCATTCCAGGCCCTTTTGTTTTCCACATAACTATAATTACCAATAATTTAGAAGTTTCTGGTCGAATCCAATACTAATACCATTAGTATATGTCAAAATTCCAAACTAAAAGACAAGTTGAAAGAGTTGGTCCTGTTTTGTTTCATAAAAGAGAATGGCCAACGTAGATACAAGTATATTGTCTTGTGGAGGGATAAATTCTACTTTGTAAAAAAATACTCTGATTCAAACAAATAATTCTCTGAAACTGACATTATCAAGATGCTTGAATTCTTGTTTGACAACATATTTATTACGTTTGGAGGACGTGTTTTTCAACAAACAATCGGCATTCCCTTGGGAACCAACTGGGCCCCTATTCTTGCCGACTTGTTCCTTTATTCATATGAGGCTGATTTCAAACAGTAACTTCTTAGGAAGAAAGATAAGAAGTAATTTAAGCAGTATCCTTTAACTTTACTTTCCGCTGTAAAGCACTAAATAATTAAAAAAAATTGGTGACCATGTTGAACGCATCTATCCCATCGAACTTGGGATAAAGGATACAACAGATACAGTTAATATAAATAAGAAGATGTGGTATGATTGTCAATGACTCATGTCAACATGAATTTTTTAACATCATCTTCGTATATTACCATCTTATAATAGTACCGTTGTGTAAATCTTCAGACTTATATAATTTTTTCCTTATCTGCGCAGTATCGTCTATTTTAGACGATCCGGTACATATCAAATTTGCTGGTCGGTCCTTTTTATAGACTTCTATATATATATATATATATATATATATTTATCACTGAAGAGACATTAATTGTCGAAATCCGGATATGGTGTACTAATTTTTGCACCTTTTGTTTGCGGTAAACTATCTTTTCCTCAAGTTTATTGTTTTCTGTTTGGTACTAAATTAATAGTTAAGATCCATTTTGTTACATTTGGTGATCCGTTTATTTGGCAATCGCCAATGGCAGTCAGCAGGGTTTAAGAACATCCGTTGTTTGACCTGCGAGTCAAATGCGTTTTGTTAAAATATACTTTTTCACTTTTTTGGTCCTTTGGAAAATGTTGTTTGTGCTGTATTTAGACCCCTCTTCCAATAAATTTATTTTGCATGCACACGTATAAAAATTCCGTTTTTTATCCAACGCAATCATAGGTTTGAACGTTGTTTTCAATTTAGACTTGTATATAATCCGGATATGGTGTACAAATTTTTGCATCTCATGTTTGCGGTTTACCATCTTTTCCGCAAATTTATTATTTTCTGTTTGGTAGTAAATTAATAATAAGATCCATTTTGTTACATCTTGTGATCCGTTTATTTGGCAATCGCCACTGGCAGTCAGCAGGGTTTAAGAACATCAGTTGTTCGACCTGCTAGTCAAATGCGTTTTGTTAAAATATAATTTTTCACTCATTTGGTCTTTTGTTAATTGTTGTTTGTGCTGTATTTAGACCCCTCTACCAAGAAATTTGTTTTGCATGCACACGTATAAAAATTGCGGTTTTTATCCAACGCAATCATAGGTTTGAACGTTGTTTTCAATTTAGACTTGTATATATATATATATATATATATATATATATATATATAGATTGCCTAACAATGTAATTTTAACACACTATTTAGTATGTAAATATAAGAATGTTTAAAATATTTACAAAATGATGAAAATAAACGCAATATTTCGCTAGACTAACTAGCTTTATCAAGCGTGCATCTATCCAGGTGAAATCGGATGTAGATGATAAGAAACTTTTGCAGCTCAATGTATATGTTGCACTTGAATTTAGCTGCCTTGAAAATAATACATAATTTGGATGAAGTTCAAGATTTTTACAAAATTGGTAGTTGAAGTTAGCAACGTCCATTGGCCAATATTACAGGATAAAAAGGACGATATTGTGTACTAAATTATTCTTTATCTTTCCTGTATCTTTTCTCATCTTTTTCGTTAAGACCATCAGGTTCTAAAGTGTGGAGTTGGTGGATCCAAAAATTTTCTCTTCTCCTTCTCGCCGTGGTGTCCCACTCGGTGTTGACTTCTATGATTTGGAAGGTAACATTATCAAAAGAATGTTTCGTTGAACGAAGATGTCTTGTGAGAGGACAGTTTTTGTTGGTTTTGTACCATGAACGATGGTTATTGAGCCGAATATTAAATTTGTCCATTGTTTCTCCCACATACTGAATGCCACATGTGTCACATGTTAATATATAAATTGAGTTCTCCGTTTTACAGTTGGAATTTGAGTAGATGGTATAATTTTGTTTAGTAACGGAGCTGATGAAAGAACTGCTTGTATTGGCAGCTTTACAACACAAGCAGTTCCTTCGACCACATTGTTTGTAGCAACCGGGAGATGGAGTAGGCTGCTTTGCTAATACAGATGTCACTAATTTGTCACTGATGTTTTTAGGTCTTCTGAAGGCCATGACTGGTGGTGAGGAAAATACTTTTTTAAGATTTGAATCATTTTCTATAATTTTCCAATGCTTCTGAACAATGGAAGACACATTTTTAAAATCAGGATGGTAAGTGAGTACAAGGGGTGTTCTGTTAGCTGCTTTATTCTTATCTGTGTACTCTAGAAGTTCTTGGCGACTGGTTTTGTTTGCTCTTTCGAAAGCGCTATCAATGATGTGGTTATTGTATCCTCGAACAACTAGATGTTTACGTAGTTGTCCAAGTCTAGCATTTTGCGTATTTTCAGTAGAGCATATTCTCTTGATTCGCAATGCCTGGCTGAATGGGATGCCACGGGAGCAGTGTTTAGGATGGCAACTTTTAGGAGAAAGGAATGGATGTTTGTCCGTTTGTTTGGTATGAAGGTCCGTTATAA